ATTAATAATCCTACGATCAAGAACAAATTTAGATTAAATTATAAGAAACTTTACTCTCATTATCATGATCTCCATCACAATGTCAAGTCTCGAAATTTAATCAAGGACCTTATCAAATTAATCAAGCAATTAATAACAATGATAAAAGAATATCAAATACAATATATATTTTATAAAAATATGTTCAAAACATCAAATGTGATATTGGATTTAGGACATATCTACTATATCTCTAACAATTGTTTATGGCGATATAGCCTTCGTGAAGAAAGGACATTCTGTCCCTGCACATGGTTTGTTTGTTTCGGGTGAAGCATTAGAGCTGTTCCAGCTGGATGATGGAGTATTGTCCATCGTCAATGAGAAAAGTCCATTTTTGTCTCCTTGTTCTAAGGTGATTAATGGTGATGCTAGAATGATTGTTACAAGTGTTCAAGTGGACAAACCAAGCCAAGAAAACAAGATTTCTGAAAGAGAGTCCAGTTTTTGTGCCTACTTTGGCAAGTTGAACAATTGCATACATATTGGTGAGCTGTTTATTAGCATTTTGATCATTTTGGTGCTGTTCTTGCGCTTTAAATTGGGCAAGAAAGATGACGAGAACGGATATAGATTAGAAACCAAAGGAGAACCAGCTGAACTTGCATCAATAGTGAATGCCATGAAGAAGGTTTTAACAGAAACAAAGGGAACAACAAGAGTTTGGATAGCTTTACTCGGTGTTACAATGTTGGGGATGACTGAAGGAATACCATTTCTTGTTTCAATTGCAATAGCATATTGGAATTTAGATGTTAAGATGGAACCAGTCACCACTATCTGTATAGAAAAGGCTAGCTGGTTGAAAGAGCAAAAATTGGAAGTTACTCAGTTTTTTCTTGGCAAAAAAGATGTCACCGAGATGTCTGCAGTGTTCTCTCTGATGGAATTGGTGTGTCCACTCTGACTTCTCAAAGTGCCTACCACAGAATAGAAGAACCAATACTATGTTGGGCAGAGAAGAACACAGGTATGCAAAGAGAGACTTTTGATCAGCAGTGCACCATAGTGAATGACAATGATATTGAGATGAACCCTTTAGAAGAACCTTGTGGAGTTGTCATAGAGAAAAATGGAGACAAGGCCCTGCTGAATCAATATTGTCTAAGTGTTCCTGTTATTATGACTTAGAAGGTCAAGTGCAGGCCTTGGATGATGTAACAAAGAGTGACTTTGCTCGAGTTAACAACAATGTGAACGTAGTTGCATTTGCCCGCAAACGTACTCAGGTTGCTGAACTTGATGAAAATGGGCTAACATTCATTGGTATGCTTGCCTTAGAAGATAGTACTATCAATCTGGACAACATGAGGCAAGCAATTGCGACTCTGAAAGAAGGCGGAGTGAAGATCATATTTGCCTCACAAGAAGATGTTGAAGTACTTGATACCATTGGTCATTGTTGGTTCCTGTCTTCTTTCTTACTTGTTGTATTTGTAAATTATAATTCTCGAGAAAAGAAAGTTAGCGTATAAACATAAATATAAACGAAACAGTAATTAATTCGAGCCCACTGAATTCACAGTGTTTCCTTAAGGAATTTAATCCCCTCCTAGTACCCAAGGTTATGGATTATTTCCTCCCAGGATAGAACGAATTACACACTGGTGTAGCGGTACTTCAAACCCCAGTGTTTCAGCGAACACAAAGTTCGGTAGCAAATCACACTTACGGTTGCTTTGTTTGTAGTTTTAAAACAATGCACAACAAATGAGGAGAACTCAGAAGTCGAATGAAAATTTTGAGAGGAAGAAATGCAATTTATAGTCGATGTTGAGTTCTTACTGAAGAGGATATCACTAGTTGTATAAACTGAAGAGGAACGATTTCTTTCTGTGTTTTTTTTGTGTGTCCTTGCTCTAACAGCTACTGCACACATTTTATATGTGCAGTCAGCTATTAGGAGAATGACCAGCCACCACTCATGGTGGAACAATCATTAGGCTGTTATGGAGGAAGCACTTGACATGGTGGAAGGAGCACTTGCTCATGGAGCACTAGGCTGCCAATGGACAATGGAGCATGCACTTGGCCGAATTGGTGGGATACTTGGATTTTATCCACGGATTGGAAAACATCTGTTACAAACACGGATAATATTACGTTAATATTCACTATTAACAAATAAATTTGGTCAAAAAAAAATTAATCAATCAATCGATCATTTGACCAAATCCAAATCCGAAGCCGAATCCGAATCCAAAGCCGAAGCCGTAGCCGAAGCCGAGCCGAGCGAGCGACGACGACGATGACGTGAGGCTTGCCTTCTTCTTAACTCTTTAAGAGCTATAAGAAGATCAATTGTATATATACCCACCAAAATCATTTTCCTCTTCCAATATGTGACAATGTTTCAAGAGAGGGAAACTTAAAATTTTACTCAAAATTTTTATTTTCCCTCCATTTCCATTCACCCTCTTTTTAAAGACTTTTCCATCTTAAAATCCTCAACAATCCCCCACATGAATGGGGAATGGCTATATCACGGAAGTATGCATGAAAAACTTGTGTGATTTGCAAGCAAGAATTAATTGCATCTGGATAAGTAGGTTTGCCTTTGAACTTTCCGTAGTAAACTTATGTCGGATATACTCGGTCAATCGGTAGATTTGATATCTTTGAACCGTCAAACTTTAGTGTATACCTAGACAACCATAAGTCACACAATCAACCCTTAACCGTCTTTGGTTCTCATTGTTGTGTTCCTTTCAGCCATGAACACCTCCTGATTTCATAAGTGCGTAGAGAATTAGCCTTGCAAAATTCTTCTTAAAACGGCTAACCCTTCACACTTACATAGGTGATTTCTAAACGTGTCATCTCATAGATACACTATTTGATATACACCGTAGAAAATTTAGAAATCATTAAAAAACTTTAATGCTTTATCCTTGGTACTGAACATTGTCTCATCACGAGAATGGACCAAAATTTTTGTTGACAATATTGAACCGTCATTAATGACTTTGTTTGATCTCCTTGAACCTAGATCTTGGGATCTCCAATCTTCTAGGTAGAGTTACCGCCACAATGACTTGCTCTCGGCNCCTAACGGTTTTATGTCTTCATCGTATATGACGAGATTTACCGTTATACATAACGCTCCCAGCCATTCCAATTTCCACTTGGCTATCACAATGTATGCATATTGGTGCCAATGGTTTGGGCCAAAATGGAATGTCTTCCA